TCTTGTATTTCCAAGAAATTGAATTTTTCATGAACATCGCCATATTTTAGGGTACCATACCCCCTTAACAAATTGACGTCAGTTTTTTATGCGTCTGCAGCTGTCCTCTTATTGATGATAAATTGCGTCCTAACATTGTCAAAGTGGTTCCGCAGTAAACTTTGACAATGTTATGACGAAATTTTTCATCAATAAGAGGACAGACGCATAAAAAACTGACGTCAATTTGCTTTTTTACAATAACAAGACCCCAAAATGGTCAAATGGCGGGAATAAATGAGGTGAAAAGACACTGTACACTTGCCGGTAACCAAAGATAAGTGAATTTTATTCAAAATGACGCGAACATTGTCAATAGCTTTTCTCGCTTTTTGATTGGCTACTTAAAAAAGTCCATTAAATCTCATTGGTTAAAAAGTTGACAGTTTGACAGCTGAAAGTTGAACTTGAAAGCTTGCATAAATTTAAATTTTATCCGTCTGTACTCTTATTGCTGATAAAATCAGCGCTCGAGAAATTAGACAGTTCTTGCAAAAAAACAAGACTTCGGGCTGTGAATGAATAATAAGCTTATTTGCTCGGGCTAGTTGTACACGTAAGCTTTTGCGTTTGTTCTGTAAAGAAAAGTTAACTGTAACAGCCCAACTTCTAACTCTTTTGAAAAATGTTCCAAGATGTTCTTCCTTTCTCTATTTACTGTTTGCTTAAGTTTTTTACCATTCTATGTGAAACTTGAACGATTAACGAAATGAACGGTCGAATACCTAAGGATAGACTGGGCACTAGAAGGTTAAATCACGTTTTTTCTCAAAATCTATCTGTATGACCCCACCTTCAAATTTCAGGAATAAGAAATTGGTTCTAATTGAACATTCATGTAAAGTAAAATAAAAATCTTTAGGAATGATTTTTCGCAAACTAAGAAAATGTGAAATCAAAAATAGCTCAAAATCTGTCTTACAGATTTTCTAAAAAGATTGGGTCTAAACGTGATTCACCCCTACAAATCAACTGTGAAAATTTCATAATAGGTTGCACAGTAGGTTTTCGAACAGTCCTCGATCAAAGACTGGCTTTTACAATCTTGACGAAAATGCCCTTTATTTAAGCGCGCGCTCATGTGACGCCATGTATCGCGTACGAGAAATGAAGAGTAAATTAGAACTCTTTTACCAGTTGTTTATCGAGGTTTTTTCATATTTTTTGGCGCCAGGCTTTGAATGGAGTTTGAAACTATTCTACGTATACCGAAGTGATTTAACGCCTTTCAAGTGCTGAAGTGGTTTTCGTTACTTGTGTCATTTTTGCAGGCGCAACTAATACTGACGTCTGGCGAGCAATCATAGCGCGCGCTACTGAGTCTCCGAAAAACTGTAAGCCACCTTAAGCTTATGTAAAAAAACAATCTACTCTGGTGTCGAGTTAATTCGTGAGTTTCTCAAATCATAACCAAAACCTGTTATTGATAGTTTCTTATTGTTTCTGTTTGTTTGGGGAGTTTGCAAATGTTTTTGAAATGAAAATCTGACGCGTACAAGTAACTCATGATCAATTGCATAGTGCAGCGCGTGCACTTTCAAGTCCGAATCGGTGTTTTCAATTGTCAACAAATCTTGACAAAGATTTCTTTCGTTATC